AACATAGGGAGTGGTAAAATATTTATGTATGTACTTCTAGGAATTAGCTTAGTCATCTAGTCGACTTTTCCAATTTGCTTAATAGACTTTAGTTTACATAATTAAGAACCTCCTAAGATTTTAACTTATTCATAATCATAATTTTATGTTTAATAAAATTAAACATTTATGTATACATCATTTCGAATTAGCAAATACCAACTTTTTAACATTTTTAAAAAATCTTTACAAATTTTATTATTGTAGGGGTTTAATAAATTATTTATTTATTTAATAAACTCCTTACTGTCCTAGAACTTTATTTTAATGTTTTGCATACTTTTTTTATATTTTATCTTGGAAAAATACCTAAAGTAACAAATAAATTAATATTTATTTAATAAATAAGAGTATCCATTCGTAAGGTTTTGTGAATATATTCCCATTCACTTCTGTAAATTTAAGCGTATTCATTTTAATAAACTAGAATACTTTTACAACTATAATACAGCCGTATTCACTTTCAAAGTGGTGAATACGGCCGTATTTATATTTACAGCTGCGAATACCTATCATCTGTATTCATATTTCTTCTTATGAATATAAATATATTCATATTTAGATTCAAAAGTGCCATAAATATAAATGGTATTCGTATTTATATTTTTGAATATAAATATACCCATCTCTGGTTTGTAGTGGCCCAGACCAGCCCGGACAGCAAAATTTACATGATACGCGAACCTTTGATATTCAACACGATGCATATTTTCTTCAAGTTTAAGCTTATCTTAAAAACACAGTTGTATACTTTTTGCATTGAAGAAACGACCTTAACTTTAACAAAAATATAAACTCGAAAACTCCCACAATAGGCGTGTCTAGATATATTTTTTTCTATATTGTTTTCGTTCTAAATATTGCTAAAATCTATTTTAGTCCACTTTCATCCATAATTCCATCAATCGCTCCTATATTCCAGTCCAGTATTTCTAAATTACGACCCCGATTATTTATAGAAGCAGACCATTGTAGAAGCAAGGGGATTATTTATGTGACTGGAACTTATATGAAACAACAGTAGACAAATTACTCCAATTTTCCATCAGATTGGTCATTCCTTCAATGCAAAAAGTGCACAATTGTATCTGCAAGATAAGCTAAAACTCGAAGAAAAGATAGATTGTCTTAAATATCAAAGGTCCACGTATCAAGGAAATTTTGCTGTCCGGGCTCTGATAAGCTCTTTACGGGGAAAGGGTCAATTATGAACAAACAAACAACTTAGAACACAATTAGATAGTTTCTCTTACACCGTGCCTAGACACTTTTGAAACACCTCCCAACTACCGCCTATCGTTCCAATAAATGACTTTTTTTCTTCAACGAAAACTTACAAATTCTCTGGACGAGGTTTAAAATGGAATTGCTGATTTCCTCCATTCAAAACTGAACGAATACTATTATAAAGAAATCGGACAGTCTTGGGATCGTAACAACACAAAGATATGTATATAATTTTAATAATATATTTTTTTATAAAATGTGATAGATAAACTTCATTTAAAAGTAACAAGAAAAACAGTATTTGTTTATGACCAATTTCATTCAAATAAATGGAACACAGTAAAACCAAAATTATAATATTTTTTTTATTTTGCGATTTGTATTTAAGATGTTGAGTGTAGGAAAATATATTTCCTATAAAATCTGTAGTAAATTTTGTGTGTTTTAATATTTAATTTGAGCTACATCACCTAAAAAAATAGAGAATCAGCCAAAAATAAAACACTATGCCTGTTTTTAACGAATTTTCAAAACTCTACCCATTTTTAAATCTCCATAGTTCGCTTCCTGTTGGGTTGAGAAAAAATGTTCGCTAATTTTAAGCTGTTTAAGATTTAATATAGCCATTTTTGTATCTATGTCGCTTTAAAAAGGAGATATTTAGCGTAAACTAAGCAGGGTCCGAAATCTCAACGATTTTTGAAGCACAGCGACAAACCCACAAGGCCTATTGAAAATATTTAAAGACCGAAGACTTGGATTTTTTTATATTCACCACACACATAATAATATAAAAACGAAATTTGAATTACTCAACCTTTTACAAGGTTACATGTCCAATTTGGCTGAGCTTACAGCAGCGGACAACACGAACCAAGTAGTCACCATATTGAAGTCAAGCCAATCTGGGTACACACCTCAAAAAAAAAATATTGATAAGGAGAAAATCATTTACAAATATTCCTTCCAACAATCATGAGAAAATCTATATTTTCCGCTAAAGAACTAATTTCAATGAAAGGCAAAATATTTTTAAAAAGAGCAATACATGCGGAAACGACGTTTTCATGGACACGTTCAAGTTCAGCAATAGGAGTTCATATTGGAAATAAGTTTCCTATCCATTTTATAATTTGATTAGTATGTGCCTCCATTTGGATTAAACCCAAGTAATTCTAGTATCTGATAGCAATAGATAACTTAGTTACTTTTTTAGAAATTAATTGGTTGAAGATGTAATCTACAAAGTTCATTTTATAGGTAACATTTCCAACTAATTATAATTATTTGGAAATTTGACCCATAAAATAAACGAATAATTAATAAAAATAATTCAACAAATAATTATTTATAAGACCCAGATATCCAATAATCTACATCTGATTATTGGATACCTACCTGCTTATAGAAGGCTAATCCCAGGAAGAGCAAGGAACAAGAATAGAGAGGAATAATGGAAGATTGGTGGTGGTCTTTTAACAGCAGGCCAAGACATAGTTTTCGCTGGATTTTATTGAAAAACCTATCACCACTAAGTCACATCAGGTCTAAAGTCCAAAGCAAGTTAGTACATTGAACAATAAAACTACAAGTGCAAATTAGCAACCTTTTATTTTTATTTGATGGAAAAGACAATTTGATTTTGATATATTTCCAAAATAACTAAAACTGAGAACTATAATTAATATTTAAATATATATTTATTTTTTTAAACGTGTTTACTGACAAATATTACTATCTAAAAGTCATGGGCAATAGGTAATAGTGATGAGTTATCAATATAGTTAAATAAAATTTATAACAATCTACAAGTAAAGTCAACTAGTTACCACATTGATATACCTATACTCTAAAACGTTTTCATGATGGATTTTTGTTGCTTTACTGAAAATATATAAAAAATAAAAATATGTTGCAAGTCACACTATGACTTCCAATATCATTGCACTGCATATATGAAAGTTAGAAGAATGAACAAATTATTTGATAACCCACTAAATTTTTTTTTTATGCTTTAAAAGAAAAAGATTTCAGTGATTCGTGTGGGCTAAATTTTCTTTAAATCCAATATGTAAACCAAGGTAAATGAAAATATTTAGATCCAAAAAAATCACAAAATTGCAACGAATATATGATGAGCGTAAGTAGGGTTTTCTATACAACGTAATATCGTATCATAACTTGATTGTTTGTTATGTTAAAATAAATTTACTATGCAATAAACAAATTCTTGAAGATAAAATTTAGAAACTGTCATATAGTAACAAAGGGCTGGTATCGCAGAGTGGTGTGTTAAATATTTACAAACTTTCTGCATGTGTGAGGATAAATACTGGAAAAGTCCCTCTAAGCCTGAGTTGATTCAAAACAAAAAATATGGAAACATAATATCAAAATAAAAGTTTTCTTCAAGATATATTTAACAGCTAATAAATAACATAGATTACTTTTTACAACAGAATGTTTTGTTTACTTCATTAGATATTATAATCACAAACAAAATATAGACTGAAAAGAATAAATCGGATTAAAAACGACATATATTAAATACTAACAAAATCAGCGATCAAACTGAGAAAGTAATAACAAAAAAATCAAATAAAATTCTAAAACAAATTAACAAGATATCCAACAAAAGGTTTAAAAGAGTAAACATCGCTACAGAATTGAATGAAAAGGAAGTCACAAAATACAAGATCGCAGGAAGTGTATGAAAGCAATAGTATATTTATATACACTCAACTGCCTAATGAATGACTTGATTTTCAAAAGTCATCATATATAAATTAAGAAACCATTATAAAAAATATATATATCTTAGAAAAAAGAGCAAAATAAGCATAGATAATAGTCAGCGACTGATGTTATAAACATATAAGGCGACAATAGAATATTTAAGCAAATGAACAAGGCAAGCAATGTACTAATGGTAAGATTATTTTTTAAATGATTCTTATAGTTCACTGGATTAGTAAATAAAATTAGAGATAACAGATATAAAATACACGAAATAGTATACACAAATTATTATAATGCTATACGATAGTTTTAAAATTTAATAATAAATTTTTTTAGAAAAGAATGAATAAAAAAAATTCTTGTCAGTACAAGTCTAAAGGATCAAATTAAACAACTAATAGACACTAGTGAACAAAGATTAACTCTTCAATAACACAAATAAATTAATATATGAAAATAAGATATTGTTAAACTAGACGCTTGATATAATAGATTGAATTATTTACCTGTTTTAAAATGTACTTAATGAAAATCAATGAATGTTTAATAAGTGGTTTCAAATGGTGCAGGCCACATGGTGTAATATGTGAAACAGAACATATTGGAAACAATGAAAATTTCATAATTGCACAAACATGTATAAATTTAACATTGAGGAAGACAAATATATTCATATAACATTGTGAAGCCTTATTTAAATCAATAATCATATAAATGTAACAATGCTACTAGATCCAATATGTTCTATATGACAAAGTAACCACTTGATTTTTAGAGGAATGCTGAAAATAAGCGGTTATTTCTGGTTTTAAAACTGAATTATGGGGTGGCTAAGACAGTTTTAAAGAGGAGCACATGCAAGGATTTGGTATGTATTTGCAATATTCAGTACAGGCTGACAAATTTAGCATAATATGACTCCTGTTCATGTCTAATAAAATTAATAAGTAACGTAAATTACCAAATCGAATGAAAATGAACTAAATAAACCATACCTTTAGGGAAATCCACTGGTTAGTCTTAGTATTTCTCGGAGGAATGGTGAATGCGTTTTGGATACAATTTCTATAAGGAAATTAGAAACAGATATTTGACAGTAAAAACTTTTCAAGCAACTCCCACCAGACTGGACCTTTATCAGTTCACGCGGCCATATTTACTGGTCTTTATCGATCTAGTCATGTGACTACTTGACTTGTCAAGGTTGTAATCTACTCAAAAAGGAGATATTTAAAAATATAATCTAAAATTTAATCTATAAAACATTAACTTTTGTCCGTTAAAATTATTCCATTACTGTTATTTTGCCAACCATAATTTAATTTGAAATGTATAATATTGCTTCTAATATAATGACAGTAAACCGTATTTTTCTCAGATATTAATTTACTCAAAAGCAACATTAACAAATGAATTTAGTCAGTAAATATAAGTTTATTCTTGTTTCAACGAATCCCTTCATTCTATGTCCACATGCTTTGGCAGCGGCTTCCGTTCAACACGCTGCAGCAATTTCCTTAAAATTAAAAAACTTCACATTTGCTTAAGGCCAGTCATTCGATGAGCAGTTCATATGGAGATTTGAGGGTGCCAAGACTAGTCAAACTTTTTTGGTTGCCTGATTTTTTTTCTATACAATAATTTTCCGTGTTAGGCATTCATAAACACAGCTGCTAACATATCTTGAAATCATTAAAAAAAGTTAAAATTATCACATGTACTTGACAATAGGTAAATGCAAGAGATTTTTAAAAATAATATTTTAATAACTGAAGAATCCGTTAAGTCGTGGTATTGGTTGAAAATTGAGTTGAGTTTACGTCAAACATTAATCTGTGAATTATTAGCAGCAACTAACGAATCCAGGATTTAATTTTGGGGAGCTTCAGCCCGAAAGATTTTTTTTTGTATGTATATATTAGAATAATTATTTCGGAAGAAAGAAAGAAACTAACTACCTATATGAAATGATGTTTAAGTGATTCTAGAAGTCCTGTTAAATGTAATTAGACGATCAATAATACTTTTAGAGATAATTTTTTCATAAAACCTGATTATATTTTACCATTTTGGAGGGGGTTTAAGTACGAAAGCCCCCCTCCCGTAGATGCGTCATTGGTCAGAGGTTAAACCTTTAGCCAATTTTTTGAACTGAAACAGTTGCTCACGCATTTTATAAATCATGGTTAACTCATTTCGGTTAGCCATCAACAATCATTCACGATCAAGGTAGACAATTTGAGTCAGAATTGTTTAGTGCTCTAAGTAAACTATGTGGAGTGAAAATGGCTTAAATTTACTGTTTAATTTATTTTGATTTAATGGACATAGAGTATGAATGTGCTCTATGAACATTATGATAAATGTCCTTAATTGAGACATATTGTAATATTTCTCAATAAAAAAATTATTTACTGTTTTATGGTAGTTAAGCAATTTATAATGTAATTTAATGATTTGCTTCATTTTTATTTGACACAATATTCACTTGTTTTACTGATGTAATGGAAAATATACAGCAAAGACTGATTTCTATTGTTGTAAATGTATTATTGTCAATTCTCCTTTTAATCTCTTGAAAGAAAAGGGATTAGTTGGTTTTGACTGGAGCTAATAGTAAACATTTACAACTAAGCTAATACTTTTTTGGCTCTCAAAATTTACTCTTTATGTTTACTTTAAACATCGCGTTTGATTGCCAAGCACCTATTGCTTCTAAAATCTAATTCCTAAGCGTTTACTTTGTTAAATAAATATTCATTCTGAAAAATAACTTAATCCTATTGAGATTTGCAGAAAACTTGGATTGTATCAATATTTTTTCGATCCATTGTTCTGAAGAGAGTTTAGTGCTATTAACCAGGAATTTTTTTCCTCTCCTTGGTTTTTTTTTCAGGAAAAACAAACATAATTATTAAAATAATTTAATTTTCTGCACAGGACCATCATTTTAGGAATCATTGACCTGGAACAGACTTATTTTCTCTGCTTAAGACCTTTAATAACCACAGAGTGTTGATTAGAAAACAAGGTTAAATAGTGCAACGGATTCAGTCATAATTTTGAATAAGTCATTACCAGTCTCTGTCTTAATGTGTCAATAACTCCCATTTATTATAGATAACATTTCTACATGTAATTATTATAAATCATCAGCTCATTATGTTATTCTCTTAGGACTATGGGCACAAAATTAATGATTTTTTAAATTAGTGAAAATTTAAACTTGTTTTGTTTTTGTACCCAATGACATACCATTTCAGGTTTTTACAGAGATTTGGTACGATTTTTTGTGTTTAGATATTTTTTTTTTTTTTAGAAAAAAATTAAAATCACGCGGAAGGATTTTGTTGGTAGTGGCTAACTTCTTAAAATAAACGCCATAACTTGCCTTTAGGATTGGTTACTCAAAGATCTAATACAAATAACTTATTCTGCAAAACTCGGCGATCTATGGAAACAAAAAATTTAATGAAAAAGAATTGTATAATTTTTATTCTTCCTAGTTGAATAATGAGCATTCTCCTTTTACGACTTCCTGTGAAGTAGAATGTTAAAAAAAGACAGGTCTACTTACGCCGCGTTCTCACATTTTTATTTACATGAATAACTGAATAGCAAATGGAAGTAGAGGAAGGTTGACAATTGACCAACGCAGCGGAAATATTCCTTTGGCTCCAAACTACAGCTCCTTTGAAAGTAAAAATACCGTTGCTTCACCTCGCCCGTGTCAACTTAGTTAAATCAAAATAAAATAAAATCGGTTCAATTCATTTTATATGACGATAACTCGTAATATAAAATTATTTAATTGTAACAAATCCTTTGCATTTTTTCTCACTTTTATCTCCTCTTGTTAATGAATAATCCAAGAAATCATTTTAATCTTTAATGTTTTAAATACTTTTTATTTTTCTAACATCATTATATTAATATATTATTGATATCTGAATTCCCAATCTATTTCATGTTGTTTATATATACAGGTTGTCCTGCAGCAGGAAATATTTAAAAGGTTGGTAGTAGACATCTAGATCTACAAAAAGGTTCATATAAACAACTGCCCAATTTCCAGCAGAAAAGTAGGAAATTTTAGATTTGTGTTTTTTTAAGCAAGTCAGGTTTTAGGTTGAATAGGAACCAATAACATAAAAAATATTTGATTTATTTAACTAAACATTGCTCCATAGTAGACTAGATAAAAGTTACGTTAAATGGAAGTAGAGTTTGTTACTGTTAAAACTATTTAAAGAGGACTATTGAGCCGACAAACACAGTTAAGTTACGTTTAAAAAAGTCATTAATTATTTGTGATATTTTTTTATCACCCTTCAACTGTACCCCAGTTACCCCACTTTTAGAAAAACTTGCTCGTTTAATAAAATTTAAGTCCATATTAATTAAGTTGAGGTTCATCGAAAAAAATTTTGATATTCAACTAAAGTTGTGTAAAGATATGATGTGATTTTCTATCCAATCACCTAAAACTACCCTTGTTTTCATAAAATATGACTACAATTAATTCTTGAAAAATTTTATTGATTGGTTTTCGTTATTATGGGATTTATTGTAATAAAGAAAATTGTCTAAAAACACATTATAAAAATAAAAAAAATAAAAATAATGATTTTTAAAATATTTTCCTTTTAAGGTGTTTTTGAAGGGGGCTTTATGGCGCATCAACCTTTTTAGAAGAGTTTTGTATTTTTGAGAGGGACATATTTCAACGGGTTTATGAATTTTCAGAATGAAAAGTTTCAAAGCAGGGGACAAGCAAAAAACTGAACACTGAAAGTGTAATATTTTATGACTTTTTAAATTCTACTTCAGTTTGCACTGTTCTTAAGAAGAGGAGAGCATGCAAATATTTTTTGAGTTTTTGCGCCATCGACCTTGGGGGAGATGGGCACCTCTGCCCCACTTTTAGAAAAACTTTCCCATTGAATAAGCTTTAAGTCCATATTAATTAAGTTGAGGTTTATTAAGGCAAATTCTGAGATTCACATCAAGTTGTGTAAAGAAATGATCTGATTTTCTATCCAATCACCTAAAACTACCCTTGTTTTCTGCAAAAATTACTACAATCAATTTTTGTAAAGCTTTTATTTCTTCCTCTTTTCTTCTTTTTTATTGGAAAGCTGTTTAATATTCTTTTTTTTTTGACAATAAAAACTTCCAAGTATACAAACAAATAGTTTATTTGTTGAAATACATGTTATATTGACGTTTCGGGAAAATTATTCCCATCTTCACAACTTAAATCCCATACTTTCATAGCAATTAATGGCTAGAAAAGATTTAATTAAAAAAGAATGCTTGTTACAATACATTTTAATGTAATGTTGTTACATAATTTGCTATAATTACCTAAAACCTCGTGTGATCCTTTGTCATGATTTGAAATTTTTGTGTCATATAAAAAATAATAAAAATATATTATCTGGAGCATCACATTCTTAGGAAGAATAATTATTTATCTGCTGAGGGGGATGTTACTAACCTTTGTATGTAATTATTTACTATTTTACTATTGATATTCAATGCCTGTTGGTTGCATAGCTGCATTCCAGTTTTGCTATATTTTGATTTTGTTTAAGGTATATGTTAATGACATATTTTGGACGAAGGATAGTTACTTACCATATGAACCAAAATAGAAAAAAATAGCAATAGAATTCTTAATTTCAGTTCAAACCATCCCAGATATCAAATAATTATCACAACCAAAAATCTAATACATAAGGCAATAGAACTAACTGACAAACCTTTCATACCACAAAGAAAAACAGAAATTTATAAAATACTAATTGAAAATTTTTACCTAGCAAATCTAATGAACATGTTATGGTACAGTCACTTACAAAACATAACATTAAACCGAAATGATAAAATAAAAAAACAAGTAACATATAAAACACCAAGAGAAAACAGTACAACTAAGAAACCAATTCAACAATTCATTACTCAATTCTTTGAAAAAACAAATATAACACACGAGAACAATCAAGATAACATTTCACAAACAAACAAAATGAACATTAACACCTGCTACAAAATGACATACACACCCAAACTTACAAACAAAATTAAGGACGTGTTAAAAAATTATGACTTACCAGAAATCAAACATGGACAGTAAAATAACAAAAAACTATACATT